GGAGCAAGGACGCTACTAGGGGCTCCTGGCATCGCTACTAGGAGCAACAACGCTACTTGGGGCTCCTGGCCTTACTACTAGGAGCAAGGACGCTACTAGGGGTCCTGGCATCGCTACTAGGAGCAAGAACGCTACTTGGGGCCCCTGGCATCACTACTAGGAGCAAGGACGCTACTGGGGGCAAGAACGCTACTTGGGGCTCCTGGCCTTACTACTAGGAGCAAGAACGCTACTAGGGGCGCCTTGCATTGCTTCTAGGAGCAAGAACGCTACTTGGGGCTCCTGGCCTTACTGTAGGAGCAAGGACGCTACTAGGGGCCCCTGGCATCGCTACTAGGAGCAAGAACGCTACTTGGGGCTCCTGGCATCGCTACTAGGAGCAAGAACGCAACTGGTAGTTTCTCGTTTCCATCGAAATCGAGACCAACGAGGCCATGACCCTCTTGGCTCTGCTGTTGGGTCTGATGGCCTTCCTCCTGGGCCGCGCTGTTCTGGTACTCAGAGACGGAAAACCCCGCAGTCCGCGGGGGTCCACCGGTGGGAAAACCTCTGCTGCTTTTGCTACTTCAGGGTGTGGAGGATGGCGTCAGCAAGGTGCGGTTCCGTGTGTTTTGATGGCGTTGTTGGACCATTTTGTGGCATTTTTGGTGATGATGTGAGGCTTTTCGAGGTCCGGAAGACAGTTTGAGGTGGGTCGGCCCGCAAGACGTATACATATTTGGCAATTCCGCTGTAGAAATCCCCGGACCGTATCTTTCCTTGCTTTCTTTGAAGATACGTAGATTACGTTCAAGCATGTCTAGTTTATATGGGAGTCGTTCTAAAACCCGTGTAATGTTTTTAGTGGACGAGTGACATTCTAGCTTTTTGAAGTTTTGTTTACCTGCAGGGGCGAAAGGATGCGAGAGCGCGGCGAAAGGTTTGGCGAAAGGCTAAACTTGATAGAAATATATCATAGATAATTCATACATGTATGCAGATGTTGTGCATATATCTTTGTGTCTAAAACAAACAGAGAGAGTGGTTTCCATGCAAGGCGTGATAGGCAGAAAGCTGCAAGAGTAGTGGCTCAGCATGTAATATCCCCAAGGATATGTATCACCAGCTTAGTGAACACCCCAGAATGTCATAGATGCGTACGAAAAGAAACAGACAGCAATAAGAAATCTTGCAGACGGATCACAAGAGAAGATTCAAGTAGCAAAATTCCCCAAACCGAACGAGGAAAAACGCGAAAGCTTCGCGAAAGCGACGCGCAAGGTTGGCGAAAGACGAGCCTGCCCGAAACCATCGGGAGCCCAAATGGGCTAGTCCAGAGTCCACGCCATGTCGCATCTTGCTTTTCTTTTCCAGGAATGGGTGAACAACAACTGTCCCGAAGCCAAGCGCCCCAACCGCAACACCACCTTGCCCAATGCAAGTGCCAAACCTCATCAGTGACAGGAAAAAACTGCAAGAAATCATGCGAAACAATTACTTCGAAGACGGAGTCGATGGCAAGAAAAGAAGCAAGCTGCAACGAAAGATGTCTGAACGCCCATGAAGGAGAAAAGATCTACCGAGCGCCCTTGGAATAACGGGAACCAAAAACCAAAGTTATCCAGAATCCACAATCCACACTCCCCAAAGTAGTAAGTAGCAGCGGCACATTTATTGTTGCATATACGATGGATGAACTTTTGTGGCTCTACTCAGATCCTCCACCGAAAACAAAATAACGAAAATAATATCATATATCCTAATACATTTTACATTGGGGGCGAAAGGATGCGAAAGATCCGCGAAAGCGCGGCGAAAGAACAATTTTTGGGAACCATAATTTTGAACAACCCCCATATAACCTGTCTCAACCCCTGGTGTTCGTTTCGTGTCACATGCTTACGTCGACATCATGGCGGATTTCACGCGAGCAATGAGCAGGAAAACCTCCAGAGCTGCTCAAGCTGTGAGCCATTTGATTGGACGATCGACCAGGCAGGAGGTACACTGTTTCTGGAGCCATGCTGCACCACAATGAATCTCTGTCACATGGGCTCACCGAAAAACAAAAGAAACACCACTGGACCTGAACTGAGCGTGCTACTTGGACCATCCAGGTGCGTGGTACTTGGACCAGCCAGAGTGGTGCTTGGGCTCGTGGGAAGCTCAGCCCCTCACCTTGGCCGCTCGGTGCAACCTCAAACGGGTGAGGTGCACCATGCAGCCGGGGCGGTGGCCTCCCTTGGACATGTGGTGGCTCTTCCAATCTCGCCCATCCTGAGAGCCTTGAGGCCGACATGGATAAAGTTTCGTTGTGGTGTTTTGTTTATCTATAAATGATTTGCTTTGCGTTTTTGGCTTATTTGTTCTTGGCAGACGCTTGAGGAACAAAGGAGACGGAGTGGAAGAATGTGGAACATACTTACCCATGTCATACGTCACGATGGATGTCATTCTTTCGCCCAGGCGTGTCCTCTCTTTCGCGACCAAAGGTGCGAGATCGCGTCTCGGGACGTCTTCGCCGCCTGACAACCGTCTCTTGCCGGGTGTGTCTGGAGAGCACTTTTCGAAGACAGTGGGTCTAATTAACTTCAATACTAATTCTTGTTTCTAGTAGACATAATAGACATTGTTCCTAGTAGTAAGGCCAGGAGCCCCTAGTAGCGTCCAACAGAATATATAGATTAAACCTTCACCGCTGCGGATTCATTGTGTCAACCGATTTCCCCCACTTGAGACGCATGCATTTACTTGCATGGCGACCGACCGGCGACTCTGATCCGACGATGGAGGAGTCGTTCGCGGCGCCACCTGGTTGGCCGCCGTTGCGGATGCGGCTGCAAAGTCAGCCCAAGCCAATCAGGTGGGATTTTCTCTGTGGAAAGCCGGGCGAGGGATCTACTTCGTGTGAGATTTTTCTGAATCGTTTTTCACGGCCATGTCAGAAGTTTGAGTCTGGATGCAACAACGTGTTGACCAACAAGTGTCGATGCCATGTCACGACACTCCTTCTGGGTATGCCATGTCCGTCCGTTCGCGCCGGCGTGGACAGGACGGCCGCGCGGCCCAGGCGGCCGAGGTCGTGCCGACCGAGCGGCCGAAGCGGTCCAGGCCGGTGTCGAGGTCGTTGAGGTTGTTGAGGTGGAGGTGACTGGTGGTGGCAGTGGGAAGGAAGAAAAAACATGAGAAGTGCATGCTGGGAATGATGGAAGAATGGGGTGATTGGAATGAAGGATTAAAAGTGAATGATAGGGATCTTCATTCATTCTTTTGTCATCATTTCTTACGTTGCCAAGCTTCGAGTTTTCCATTCGCAGGTTCCGGAACCCATTCCTACGAGATGAAAGCTGACACAAGCTGACACAGGGCTGGTCAAACGAGAAAGCCACTTCAGGCATCTGCAGCCCTGTCGCCAGCGAAGAAAAGTCTGCCGCTGCTTTGCACAAGCCTACATGCCAAGTCAACATGGGTTGCTTTGCTTTGATGTGGCATTTGCCTGTGGCCAGGAGCACAAAAAGACCTGCAATAAAAGCAAAGGCCACAACCACGAGGACTGCCCGAGAAGCAGTGTGAGAGAGAAGTCGTGAAGAAGAGTGTCGGGAGGACAAGAATAAGGAGAACCAGGCACCACCATTAGCCCTACTGGCAGCTTGGGGCTCAGTTCTTTGCAACTTTGCTACTTAACTTTCTCCTTTGGTTTTTCAATTGGTTCAAAAACTAACAGCCCTTCGAAGAAAAACACTTCCTTCCGTCCCCCCACCGTTGACACGTCACAAAACCACCGAGGAGAAGTGGCTGCTCTCCGGGCTGCGGTGTTTGTGGTCGGCCAACGTGCCGCTGTGGCTTGGAAGGACGAAGGTGGCCCTTTCCCTTGTTTCTAATAGCTTCTTGTTTCTAATCCCAAAGAATCCGGCGATCAAACACCTTGTTTCTTGGGGTGTCTCGTGATGAGGCAGTCAATACCGATGGTGGGATTGCACAATCAGGCCAGGAACGATGATAGAAGCGTGCAGAGGGTGGAACTTGTGTGTTGCGTTGATTTGTTGCAACCGTGTTCTCAGGGGAACACCTGTTACCTCAATGCTATCCTACAATGCCTTGTACATACACCTTTACTCTACCAGTCCTGGCCTCAAAACTCGACCAACGGAAGCGGAAGTTGCACCTGCGCAACCGCGCGCTTGCGCGCGCCACCGCTCGCCGCCTTCTTCGCCGCGGCGCTGGCGACCGAGCTCAGGTTACTGCAAGATCTTCCACCAGGTTGTCTTGAGCAACAGGAGAGAGGGGCCCGGAGGGGCCAGAGGGGCTGGAGAACGCAGGAAAGCTGGCGCTTCAGCAGGGTTGAGGTGTTGGAAGCTCTCAGGTTGACTAGACTGGGGCCTTTGGGGTCTGTCAGCATGCTTTCGTACTCTCCATTTGGTGCGCATGTAGAAGGCAGAGAGGACCGGCCTTTGCTTCTCACCCCAAGCCTGAAAAGAAGCTGCAACTGCACGAATGGAGGACGAAAGGCGGTGGCTAGCCGAAGCGATAGGGCTCTTGCAGGACATGGCCAAGGCAAGTCAGCTCTTCACAAGACCCAATGGACTCAATTTTGTTGAGCACAGTAGGAGTTCAGGGTTGTGTGGAAAAGGGGAGAAGTGTTGAAGCGATCAATATTGGTGGTTGGTTGGTGGGTTGACAAGCTGGATAACTTTCTCTTGCCGCTTGCCCAGGCCCACGAGCGCGGGCAGACAGCGATCTCCTCCAACATTGCTGGGTGCCGCTGCGAGTTGTTGGGTCGGACGAAGATGCTGGAAGCGGTGAACGTTGGGGTGCCAGGTTGATTTCTGTGAACAAAGAGTTCACTCCAGGACAGCAGGCAGGGTCCTGGGCTTGAACATACTTGAACCACAGCAAGTGCTTTTTTTTCAGGTGAAAGCCTGACCAGAAAACGAGCTGGCACCACTTGACTTACCAGTGTTCTACGGTGAAAGCCAACGATTCGTTTTCTCTCGATGGTAGGCTGATGCTCACGAAGCCTTCATGTTTATCATTGAGAGGCTCTCGGCGATCTCTGAGACGGCGTGCGAAGACGGGAGCAGCTAACGAACGTAACAAGTGCATCGCTACGTTCATAACAAGTGCCTTACTAGTAGTAACAATGTTCGCTAGTAGTAACAAGTGCATCGCTAGTAGTAACAAGTGCCTTACTAGTAGTAACAATGTTTGCTATTAGAAACAATAAATATATTAATGTTTGCTACTAGTCATGGGCTTGTGCAACCTGACATGGCGCCCCCTCACTCAATGAGGCCGAGGCCCAGAGTGAAAGGGGCGCTCTGAGAGTGAACATTTGGCTGCTCAGGGGCAATGCTCCAGACCATTTCCCAGGTCATAGTCCCGGAAAACAAGTCCAAGCTGCACCGGAACAGTAGACCACAACAATGACCATCAACTACTGAGATGAACATCAGTGTTTGTTCGTTTTCTTAGGTGGCTTCAGAACTGACAAGTTCCACCTTTGTGATCTTGTCATCTTGTCGATCCATGTTGATCCCATCCAACTGCAAGTGATAACAACATGTTCAACTAGGGGCTCCTGGCCTTACTACTAGGAGCAAGGACGCTAGTAGGGGCTCCTGGCATCGCTACCAGGAGCATTCTTACTACCAATAACATGTTCCTGTTTTTACTTCAGCTGTTGACCGCCTTTGGAGGCTGCTGACCGCCTGCCTGGCTGTGGGGGTGGGAGGCACCGAGAATCCCGTCCTCGAGGCGGCTCGCAGCAGTCCAGCCGACAAGGAGCCCCGTTCCACCGACGGGGCACCCGCCGTGGTCCCGTTCCAAACTCGTCCGTGGTCCGTTTCGCCGATTTGGTGGTGGCGGGTGGTTTTGTGGTCAGGGTTGACTCATGGATTCCATCGATTCCAGCATGGATTCCATGGGTTCGATCCTCATTTCTTCACATTGGATGCTGCTTTGGCCTTTTTCGCTCCATCGTTTTCTTCGCCGAAAAGGAGACGTTGGAGCGCAACAGCCTTATCGGCTCGGTCTTCGGCATGGAGCTGGGGCAGGGCATCCGCTGTCGCCACTGTGAGCATCACACCAAGCCATTGGTCCACGCGGAGTACTGCATCTACTTGAGGACTGGACAGACGGAGACGGACATCCACGCGGAGTACGTCTGTCCTAATACTTGTAACACTGTAACAGTAAACAATCATCAATCAATTATATTCAGTTAATCAATGTTTATCACTCTTTTTTGAGAAGGGCAAGTGAACCATCATCTAATAGATCCCATAGGATAGACCCAACTTCGGCCCAAAGGCCACTGGGAGTTCGGGTGACTTTCGGTGAAGATGCATGGGCTCTTGGGCTGGATATAGAGGGACGGGACGTGTTTTCGGCCAGCCGCACAGGGGGCCACCAGTACAGAACTACGAATCAAGAGGGTGACCGGTGACTACCAGGTTTAAAAGACATGCAGCATGGAGCATGCAGGCATCCAAAGGTTGGAACCCACGTAAGAGAAGGAGCTTGCATTAAACATCATCATTAAATGGCCACGCCTGTACAGAGACTTGTCTTAGCTCCATCTCGGTGTCCTCAGGGCAGCGATGGGGATGGAGGAGACCGACTATCGGCGTAGGCTTGCGGCTTCCGTCGGTCGCCACTTACATCGTTGCAGCATATTTCCTTGATGATTGAACCACAGAAGTCAATTTGGTTACGGCCTCCAAAGAGTCAATTTGGTTACACATAGTAATATGACCAACAAATTTAAGAGTTCACGCCATGATATGAGATGACGAGTTGAACCACGATGCTTATGTGCACATTTGATCATGTTTGTAAAGGACTACAGTAACTAGATGCTGGTTTTAAGATGACAGGAATGGGGACAACACAAGTTTGCTTGAACATCGCGACCTTTGAGCTCGTTGAAGATGAACAGACTTATGATTATGAGACATGTTCTGCTTTTATATCGCCCAACAAAAACCGCCCATTTTGAAACATACTCTGTTGACATCATTTGAGGGAGTTCATCCTGGTAGGGACCCTAGCTTAGCAGCTTCTACAGGCCTGGGGTAATTCAATTCACCCCTTTCTGCGGGACACGAATTGATGACGAGCATTTGAGCCATGGCGTTGCAAGCAATTCTGCTGAGTGCCTTTGCCACTTTGGGAGGTCTGGCATGTGGGGCAGCTTGGTGATGTTTAGGACATGTGGAGGAAGGGTCGGGGAAGCAAAGAAAGGCCTTTATACACTCCGGAAAGAGTCTGCTTTGCAGAAACCATGTCTTTGTGTTTTTGAGATACGCGACGGGACGCGTGACGTACACCCAGGCTGCAGGATCAAGAGCTCTTCTACGAAGAGGTCCGAAAGTTCCTTGGGCAAAACTCCGTTCGAAAACTTTTCAATCCAACTTTCCGGCGTGGGACGTGGCTGCCGAACATCTCCGAGGTCTCGCGGCTACAACGAGCTTCGGGGGCATTTTCGGCGCTGGTGCTGGTCATTGTCGGATTGATTGGCCTGCTCTGGTGCTTCCTTTCGCCCCCGCCATTTTCCGCGCCTTAGTGTTCAACCTCGTGGATTGTGGTGGTGTGAAGGGGAAAACCAATCCGGGTCACCTGTGAGGTGACACTCGAACCATGAGCCATGATCAGCCTGGCTGTCATGTCATTTCCGTTTCGCGATACCTTTTTTTGGCCCCACCTAGATCGAAGTTGATGGTCCGCCAAGCTACCTTCGGAACGATCCCACGCGCTCCGTCTACTTTGGCCGCTGGGCGGTTGTTGCTTTGGGTATGCGACAGTGCGACCGGGCGACCGGGGGAATGGCCAGATCTTGGATGATGTTGCTTGTGTGACGAAGAATGCCCAGGAGGGCTTTTGGTTGCATAATTCTGTGTTGTCAGAATTCAGGGGGGAAGCATGGGGAAGCTCAGGAAATGGTTGCTTCTGGCACACACAGTATGACTTTGTCGTGCTGGAGCAACACCCTGCTGGCCCATTTCGAAGAAATGACACTGAAGTTACCAGCCTTGTGGGATATGCTGGAGGCCGTTTGAACCTTAGATTGGCTGAGTTTGGAATTCCGATGTGCTGGCGCCTTGTTGTCCTGGCCGAGCGACGGCTTCTTCCAGGTTTCCAGAGCCCCAGCGGTGCCGTGTGCTACCATGGCTGGCCTGGAACGGACTACTCACGTTTAGGTGTCTGGTTTCTGAAATGATGAACCCCGCAATGAAGGATTTGGTCACCCCAGATTTTACATGGTTGGCAGGCTTCAGGAGGTTTACTTGGTTACTCTTCAGCTGTTTTTGCAGGTCATGCAGAGGCAGTATCCATAGAGTTGGACACTGCGACTGGTGAGCTGGCGCGCAAGCAGGTGCGGGTGGATTGTGTCTGCTAGTTTCTATTGTTTTGCTCATTTGTATTGTTTTGTGTGGGTGGACCGACCTGTAAGCTGTTCCCCAAAAGAGCGCTGGTGAAAGAACCCGAGTCTCCAGTCTTTGTTCGAACTGCCAGGTAGCGGCTTTGGCGAAGGACTACTTTGAGCACGGGTTTCAGAGCCTCCCAGATGGACGGAGGCTTGTGATGTGGTGGATTTTTCTTTGTTATTTTTTGATGACTTCAACTGATTCGAGCCATTGAAACAACCCTCAGGCTGTTTGAAAAGAAGTTTTGTATAAGGCGACCCTCAGTCACCCATATGACGGAGGTCGTATCTCGGCTGTCCCCAGGCAGCGCCTGGATCCACAGGATGTTGGGGCAGAGTACCGCAACGCCTTTCGGGCTGCGTTCAGACTGCGCATGTTTCGGACTTCTCTTTGGGTGGGGTTCCGGAACCAGAGCGGGACCAGGGATTGGACGAGACCGCCACTCCAAATTCTATTGAGTTGAAGGGGGCCTGACGATTGCGGCCTGGTTCTGGTCGGTTGGTGCTTTTTTCCGTGGATGCTTGGCACAGCTGCCGCCACCCAGCTTAGCTGGACACTTTCTTTGCTTACAGGCAGTAAGTAGAGACTGCTCCAGTGTGCTTGGAAGTTTGTCCCCTTGTTTTTGGCTTCCGTAGTGGGAGGATCGCATGTTTGCAGCTGGCTTCTGTCACATCAGTCGTTCAAGATGCATTTCTCACAGAGCAGTATGATGGACAATGCAGTTTCCATATTATAGACATGTTCACTATTTGGGGTTTGTTCACAGACTCTTCGATCTAGTAACTAGATGTAACTAACTAGTAAAAGCAGATTGCTCACACGTGCATTCTAGCACTCCAAGCGGCGCACCATGGCTGAACCTGATGCGAAGATACTATCTCAGGAAGAGACAGTCGCATTGATTGGCCCGATGTTATCGACCTCAGGTACAGAATACCGAAAGTTCAAACAAGCCTTCATCCGCAAGGCCGAGCCGAACGAGAAGGTTCAGACCATCCTGCAGGGGAAGGTGGAAACCGAAAATGTGGCCAGTGAGGGTGACATGGTGGTCCGTGCAGACACCAGCTCCAAAGAAGAGTATATCCTCAAAGCCGAGACCTTTCAGAAGTTCTACTGTGATGCAGCTCCAATCGATGCCGCCCACCCGGATGCTGCGGAGCTGCAGCGTTTGGGCTTCCAGGCCTATCGACCGAACCGGCGTTTGAAGGCGGTGGAGGTGGACGCCGCGCTGGCCGCCAAGTTTGAAGGCGGGCGTTTCATGGCGGCGTGGGGAGAGCCGATGTGCGTGGAGGTCGGGGACTTCCTGGGGTCTGGGCAAGTGGCGGAGGACGGACGAGTGCTGGAAGTGATCCGGATTGAGAGGAAGTCCTTCTTTGAGACCTACGAAGCTTGTCCTTAAAGCAGTGATTGGACATGATTGGACCGCTGGCGAGTCTTGAAAAGGCTTATGGATGTGAGCGGCGTGTCGATGATGAGATCCCTTGACCAATAGGTGAGACATATCTTGCTCCAAACCCATCCAACCTGTAAACTGGGCGGAACTGATGCAAGCTCAACCAATCCCCTCGACCAACGAACACGTCCGTCACGGATGCATCTGTGGAGCATCAGCTGAGGTCATTGGCCTTCCCGGCGGCATGGACAATCAGGAACTTTGGCCCCTCATTGAGGCACGTCCAATGAATCTTGCGTAAACATGCATGAAATTGTGTTCTCAACAGAGCCAAAAACCATTAGAGTCATCATTAGAGACAGACCCCAATCTCCGTGTAGCCAGAAAGGAACTCGGGACTTCGTGCCATGTTTTGAGTGGCCAAAAGGGCAAGATATCCATGAACTGTGGGGAAGGCACGTCTTGCATGGGAACAAAACAGCAATGCAAGGCCGCAAGGCGTGCTGTACCTTAACATTTGTCTTGCCCATTTGTCTAGGTAGAATGTGTCTATAGTCGTTTAGAGTTTAGAGATTTCAAGACCGCACTTGTTCTGACACGCCGGGATGTTCAGGCCGGCAACGCCTACGGAATGCCCCTGCGGCGAGGAGCGATCGGGGATTCCGAAGGCTCGGCTCTTTGCGCGCCCGTCCAGACGCCGGTGCCGAGCGGACTGGCCCTACCAAACCCGGAAGGCCCTTTACATTGTCAGCCTGTTTGTTCAGAATGCAAAAACAAGAGATGAAATAGCACAAAATCCGATATGAAGCGGTCTTCATGTGTAGGAAGACATGGTACAAGGGCTTGTGAACGACGGGCGACGCTGACCGTCAAGATGTGCCTGGAGAGGTGAGTTTGTGGTCTACGTTTACGATTCAGTGCAGTATCCCTTTTTCCGTGGTGAAGCTTCGCATCAGTCTCCCTGCTGATCATTGGCTGAAGTGAACCGTGATGAACACCTGCAGGTGAAGAGCTTTCTTTTGGATCTTTTTTGGGAAGACACGTGCTGCGCATTGGAAGCCACGACGCCTCGTGGCTCGATGCTACGGGGCTGCTACGGGTCCAAGGTTTCATCCGAACAGCGTGATCCAGCGCCCGGTGCCGGCCTCCTACACCGGGGACTTGAAAGCCACCCAGGCACAGCTGGGCCGCATTGCTGAAGACAGGCGCATCGGAAGGAAGGGAGGTTCTGGTTAGCACTTTCAGACTTCTTTCAGTCAGAAGGATCAACTGACATGTGCATACAGCGGCATGCCATTGTCTTTGTGATACCTTGTGACTTGAGTACTCTTGGTTTCCAGAAACTGTACTGTACCCCGTCAAGGGCGATCAAAAAAATGGGCCAGCCACTAAATACTTATTCCACGGTGATTTTCTAGAATCCATTAAGGCACGGCCCAAACGCATATAGGTTGGAGGCCATGGCTATTAGGTTGGAGGTTGGAGGGCAGAGCGGCCTTTTAGAAAATGTGTTGACTCACAGCCATATCAAGAACGGTTCTTTTTCTCTTAAACCACTCGGAGGGGCTGCACCGGGCTGCCCGTGGAGCTCTCCGCGCTGATTGCGTCGCTCGGCAGCACAGCGCCGGTTTTGGGGGGGCGCTGACCTTTTGTGTATACAATTAAGATCATTTCAAGATCATTTAAGTACTTCTAGAACCCTACATTTTGTTAAAGCGCTACCTTTTTGTAACCAATCATTTCAGCGGTGAAACCGGACCTTGCCGTCCTCACTGGGACACGACCTAGCTCAAACGGTTTAGTCACGGAAAGTCCACAGGACTCGCGAGCGGTTGAAAAACAGGATGATTTTTTGGTCGGCTCAGCATTTTAAGTCCCAAAGAAAGACCATCTCCAATAGAATGATAAACTGATGCTATGAAGATCTATGAAGGTCATTTCTTTCATTCTTCTCGCTTTGTTCTCTCCTTCCGGAAGAAACTTTTCACACCCACTGGAAGCCTATTCAGCTGTTGAAATACGCCCAGTGGATATTGCCAAGGTTTGTGTGTGCTGCTGCATGCTCCATGGGGTTGATGCTGCTCGGCTGCAAGTCTAAGATAATCTGAGGCCGCGGTGGAGCATTGTTTGCTTGAACATAAAGTGGCCATCCTGCAAGGACTTTATAGGCAATTACAAGAGATTCGTGTTTTTTTGTACTGGGAGACTTTCTGCAGTGGAATATCTCGGAGTCCCACGAGTGAGGTTCTTGTACAGCAGCTTGTTTTCCGAGACGAAGGCCTTTGAATGCATCAGACCGCAGCGGGTAGCGTCCGCCCACGACGTCTCCCACGGCTCCCACGCGTAGCACGCGCTGCTTGGCAGCTGGGCCGAGAGTGCTGGAAGGGTGCCCCTCACAGGGTTCGATCGCTCGGAAACAACAGAGAAGGTGGACGGATATGTTATGTTATGTCTTAAGACCTGCTTTGGCCTATTTATGTGGCCTTTCTGTTTCTTTTCCAGGACTATTTCATATTCTACCAGGACTATTTCATATTCTACCAGGACTATTTCATATTTGTACAGAACTATTTCATATTTTTTCAGAACTATTTCACTTTTCTGTAACAATGCTCTTGTTTTTCACATTAACTACATCATTGTTTTTCCCAGAATTTTAGTGATAGTCTGCCATGGTCTATAAAAACTGTGGCTGAAAGCAGCCTTGATTCTAGAACAGTGCTGGCAGTACTGGCAGTACTGGTGCTAAACCCTAGGACTTCCACGTCCATGAGGAAACGTTGCCAGGGCCTTCCATGAGCTCTCAGGCTCAGGAGTGATCTGAGACATGGAGTCATGGAGTGCTCTAAGAACATGCTTGGGACTCTACTGGTGATGAGTGAGCGCACTTTAACATTTTAGCGTTCTTTCAAGTTCTTTCCAGCTTTGGCCCTCCAGCTCTTTGTGCCATGACCACGGCCATGGATTCGCAATCACTGTCTGCTGTGTCAGATATTCAAGATTCTGATCAGCACCTTGACTGTTGGGTAAGTGACGATGTGTGGATTTGTGGTTATATAGTTATATATATATACAATTGACAATTATTATATACACCTGCTGCCTGCTGCTTGCCATAATCTACACTAAAATTGTTACAAAAAATAGAATTAACTTAAGTTCCGGAGCTGGGCTGTACTGTATTGTATGAACCCTGTATGTGAAGATGACATTGTCATCTAAGGTCTGACTCTGAACTGTCCGATCCACATGGCCAGCCAGTCTACCTTACCTGGGCAGACCGAGTTTGTCTCGCGTTGAATCTGAAGCACTTGGCTTTGGATAACTGTGGACAACCGCCCAAGCAACTTGGACCAGCCATGTCACATGACAGTGTTTTCTTTTTCGCTTTTCCTGGCATGGGTATGGGCTGGTATGGGCTGCTGAAAACACTGTGGAGGCATGTGGTTTTGCTGGCTCATACTTTTCCAAGGTATACTTTGCTGGAAGCATGTGCAGGAGCAGCAACAGCTACAATGTGTATGCCACTTGGTTGTTCACTCACCAAAACAACACAGGCCCAGGCACACAAACAATCAGCACAGATCAGATCGAATAATACTGCTGCAACCTACCTGCGTACCTGCATGTGGCATAAAAATACTATTGCAATATTAACATAATGTTTACTCAGTCTACTCCGAGTTTTACCGGTTTTGATTGTTGAGTCAAGAGTCAAGAGTCTTTGTATTATTGTCTACTGATTTTGCTCCGAGCTTTACCGTTTTTGACAAACAGACATGAAACATGTCAAGTTTCCCGCTTTAGCACTGCTTGACAAACGCAGTGCTTTTGAGGAAGGACATTGCAAGCGTCCTGAAGATGGACTGGAAGACGACTTCAGTGTCAGACACATGCCTGTTGAAGAGGAGGTGGATCAAAGAGCATTTTTCTGCCAATGGCCACTTGGAAGGGTATAGAAAGAATCCTGAATCCTCAGAGCAGCTCCAGTAAAGGACTCGTGATTCAGTTGATGAGGTGTGTGACCTGGTTTACAACAGTTTGTTGTTAGTTTGTTTGTATTGGAGCAAGATCACTGAATCATGCTATGAACTAAACGCTACAGTCTAGAGGCTAAAGGATTGGAACTCGAAAGTTCAAAGATGTATCAGACGTATCAGTAGAAAACGACTCATTCTTTCCTCTTAGTGGCATCAGTAGAAGACGTTGTCACAGCTTGCACTGAGTTGACCACATCTTCGACGATATGCGCTTCGGGACGACTGGCGGCCGGTGTGAGACCCATGGCAAATGTTGCAAGTCAGACTTGCACCAGGACAAGGGCACACGTTTTTGGATGAATGGGACAGGCTAACAGACTAGTTGACTAGTCCAGTCTGGTCTAGTCATTAGTTTTCGAGTTTTTGTAGGAGTCCAATTGCCAAAAAAGATATTAATTGAATATTCTAATATTCTAACAAGTTTTGCAGCATGCAGCCGCCACTATATGTAAACGTGTTCAAAACACACACACACACTAATCATCATCACACTGGTTTAGAGTGGACTCAGGAAGCTTAGCCTCCATTTTAGTGTCCATTCATCTGAGGAAAATCTGTGTTTATGGGCAGCAATGCAAGCAAGTGGAAACTAGAAGAGAATCCTTGCTGCGCCCCTTGCTTCAGGACGTATTTGTCTGGGGGCCTCCGTGCCAACCTTACTCGAAATTGAACTCGCAGCGCAGCGACCCCACCTTTTGCCCACTGGATACCAAAGAAGCTCAGCCCTTCGTGCTGGGCTCAAGACATATCCGATACTCAGCTATGTTCCAGTCAGGTACATCGGTACATTGCAAGACGTTGTTGGACAGGGACTTTGGTATTTCAAAATTCCAACTCTTCAATACAATACGGTACGTTGAGGAAGCAGCGGCTCTCACTGTGACCCACTGTCTAAACAAGCAGACTTCTAGGCACACTGCCACACTGCACTTTAAATAGCAATTTTCCAGGATCCTGGACTCATTGACTCATTGGAATTCATTTGATTTGTAATTTGTAATTGGTCAGGCTAATTCCGAATTCCCGCTTATTCTTGGTTTGATTCCCTCTTATTATTGGTTTGATTCAAGGCCTTTTTTAGTGTGAAGTCTATTCTTGTCATCAATGTAGTCAGAGCCGAGCCAAGAGTGGTGCATGTGTGTGTGCCTCTCTGTCGTTTCAGTCTTCAACAGTATGGTTGCCAGCTATCACTGGCTCCCTAGGACAGATGCGGCCATTGGTTGCAGTGATGGAAGAGGCTGTCAAATGGGGCAGGGTACAGGGTCTGCAGTCTTTGTCATCAAGTCTTGACTTTGGGTTTTGGAGCATTGCGTTTCCAAACAAAAACGCACTTGCTTTGCATGCTGTTCATTTTTCACAGTTCCTTGAAGATCAGCGTCCAAGCATTGGTTCTTCACCCCGTATTTGCAGCTTTGTTACAGTTCGTTGTTCGCTTGTTTCTTTGGTGGTTTCGTTACACGTGCGCTGCACCTGCAAACAATTAAGATGTCTGTGTACTGTGTACTGTGTACTGCATACAGTCATACAGAGTCATACATATTGAACTGTTCATCCTTAGTAGCTGACCTCACCTGTGTTTTTGTTACTTTTGCAATTGCCTCTTTCACTTCCCAGTATACTTACTTGCCACCATCTGGCTCTCTTGAGATCTCCCACAGGTCATGGGAATTCACGATGAGTTCTTGGTCTTCAAGAACCAGTCCCACCCAGACTACGCAGGATTGAGGCAAGGGAGTTCCAAGGCGTTGCCAGTTTGGCAGTCTTGGGCAGTTTGGTTTTGAGGTCAGGTCAGGCAGTCAGACAGCAAACTCATTGTCATTGAAGAAGTGTTTTCGATTTGAGTAGAAGTAGCCAGCAAGCAGCAGTAGCAAGCGGACTTCGGCATTCACAGTTCATTCTGTCCTCCCTCCTCCTGTCCATTTTGACTTTTGGTTTAGCTACAGCTCAACAGAGGTTGAGAGAAGAGATGCATTGAAAGCTTCAATCAATCACTCAGCTTACTACAGGTTGCACGTGTGTGGCAGCGTGTAGAACTAACGTGGATGACAGGAGCACAGCAAATTTCAATGACTGTCACTGTCAGTGTGATATACTGATAGATATGATATGATTCGATATGACTACTACTACTACTACTACTACTACTACTACTACTACTACCTGTATACTGTATACTAGACTCACTGTACTGTTTTAGGACTCATTTAGGACAGCGCGATTGCAGCAATGTTTCACCAGTGGCTTGGCAACTTAAAGTTGCCATTTGGCCATGTGGTGCCTAAGTGCCCTTCGCAGAAGACATGTTCAAGAGAGGGCTGGAGCCAGTTCAAAAGAACCCCAAGCCAAGCCGAAGCCTTCAACTTCAAAGAGGCTGCAGACTGAGAAAGCTAGGGTAAAGAAGCTGCTGAATTCCCAGGCTGCAAAACTCAAAAAGGAAAAGGGTTTGGATGGACACTTTGCAGGGACCTCAACTTTGCTGCCCACAAGTTTCAAAGATCATTTGAGACATTATTTCTTTACCCAATCGTTTGCGACCGTGCAACAGCAAGAATATGAGAATCACGATTGGAAAACATTCCAGAAGGACAGAGCCAGAAGTGTCTACTATCTCATTCAAGCACTGGTGGCTACCATCACCAGCCTCTTCTCTGTTTGCCAGCAACAAGCTCAACCACACATATTCCACACTACCAACGTCCACATAGTTGACGATACTTCAACAAAGATGAGGCCGCCAAGCAAACACAATGAAGGCGGCACGTCTGTGTTCACGATCATGAACTCAGTACAAGATGTGCATGTCAGGCTTGAGAAAAGCACCAACTGCTGTGCTTGCCTGAGCTTTCGGTTGCCAACACCACTGATAGTGTTGGAGCAAGCAAATGCCAATGAGATTCACAAGGCCTTCTCATCACTTGCCTTGGTGACATCAAGAGGCATTGGTGACATGCTTCATGGTTTTGGTCTCCGGAGAGATTTGATAGAGAGTGGAAGCCAGTGGAAATCTTTCATTTTTATGGGAGATGCTCTGAGAGCAAATGATGCTTCGTATCGAAGAGAAGTTCAGCTTTTGGCGTCCTCAAGAAAGGAGAGGCACCTTGCCTTACGCCTAAAGTGTGGCATCCATCAAATCGCGCTGGTCCGAAAGGTTGCAGTACTTATGCCACCACGCTTCTGGTCAACTGTTGTGAGACTGGCGCATTTATTTGAGGTGTTTTCATTCAGGCGGTCATACGCTGAGACCTTGGCGGCTTTACTCTGCAAAAGTTTTACCCACATCCCAGTTAGTCAAATGCCGCCAGAGGCT